CTGAGATGGGCTGCACTGGGCTGGGCCGGGGTGTACTGCGTTGGACTGGGCTTGGCTGAACTGGGCTGGACTGGGCTGGAAATGTGCAGTACTGTCGCTCTTGCTCTTTACTCACTTGCTTTGATGTTTCGATGATGCAGCGCAGTAAAGGCTCATAAAGTGTGTGTGTGTGTGTGTGTGTGTGTGTGTGTGTGTGTGTGTTGACCGGGGAGCTGTAGGTCTCGAAAGTATTTACTGCAGTGTTTCACAATGCTGTTGGTGTCTAGAGTTTTGAAAAAAATGATGTGAAACCGCAGGAGAGAAAAATGAAAGCAGTTAGACTGCAGTGCTGAGGGAAACCGTGGTGAAAGCTTAAACCCCTGTGGCAAACATTCCTACTGGTTGTCCTGGCGTCCCGTGAGGGACCCGGGGCGACTGCTGTATCCCAGCGCTCCGGGGGAGCCGTGCTTGCAGGAGGGGAGGGCGTTCGGAATCCCGGCACTGCCTCAGACTGAGGCGCAGCGCGAACACGCTGCCGCTGTGTGGGGGGCGGATGCCTCAGCCCGGCGAGCCCCAGCTCCGTTCCTGGACAGGACGAGCCGGGTCACAGGCTGCGGCTGGGAGTGGGATTGAAGAATGAGAAGCATGTGCTGGGACTGGGCCGCTATTGTCCCGGCCAGGAGGCCTGTGGCTGTCGGACGCACCCCCACAGCGGGAGGGGGGCTCTGGGAGTTTACGCGCTCCCTCAGTCTCTCCCTCCACCGTGCTGCAGTTCCGTGAAGCTGTCACTCCGGTAGCCAGTCACTACTGCTGCGGGAAATACCTGGGGCTGCGCTTGCCCTCCTGGTCAGCTGTTCAGAAAGGCTGGGAACAAGAGGTCGGACTGCCGGCTCTATTGCTTCTCCAAGGGTAACGCAAATGTCCCAAAAAATATTTAAAAAGCAAAAGGGCAAAACTTCGTGAAGGAAATTCACCGGAAGCTGAGGAGAGACTACACTGCCAAACTAAAATCGCCCCTTCTGCAAGCTGTACTTTTAT